TGTGAGACAATAATGAATATCACATAAAAAATACTACAAGAAATTCATATTATGACTATATAGTACTTTATATAATTTGTAAGTTAGTATTATACTATATTAAATTTGTTTAAAAATTATGATATAGTGAAAAAAACGTCAGACACTATATAACGTACATGCATTTTTGCTGCTGCTAACAATTAAATTTAATTGTGCAATTATCGTTAATTGAGGTCTGCTAAATGCAAAGTGTAAACAAATATTAAATCGATATTATATGGTATAAGTGTTTGAAAAGAAAATTTAATAAGTTTTATTTGAATTTATTTAATTTAAGCCTGTATCAAATCAAATAATTTTTTTTATAAGATTAACGATATAATCACAGTTTATGATTATATCCATGTACATACATTATATGATGCATTAAATACCCTTTAAATATGTATATAGTATATAACATAGTATTTCTTTTGGTTACGGAAAGATCGTTGATTTTCCGTTTAATAAACATTTAAAATAGATTAGTTTATTAGTAATAATAATATACCTAAAAACTAAACCGATTGTAAAACAGTAACACTGTTTTATACTGTTTGAGTTTTAAGCATATCCATTAGGATGAAGTAATAAGTATCAGTTCCAGCTGATAAATAGGACTCAGACAAAGTCATTTTAAACTAAAAAGCTTAATGAATGACATAAAAATTAGCATAAAATTTAAAACATTAAAATTTATAAGAATCAGCTAAGCATGCATTAAATTCCAAACTAAAATAATTAAGTGAATAATTCGCCTAGCACAAAAACAAATTTGAATTCAAACAGATATCTTAACATAAATATACACATAAACGTGTAAACTATCTTCGCAAATAAAATATTGTTACACAGCATATACATATATATATATTGTTATATATAATAAGCCTTATACTAAGAGGCAAACATAATCAATAATTACTCGAAAATGACTAGAGTTCAATTAAATTACTTGTAGGAACGTTGAAAGCGTTGAAATCATACGAGTTTTAAAGAAGAATACAAATTTTTATTAGTATCTTATCTTAAATGTTTTTATAATGGACATAAAATACATCTTTCATTCAAAAACTTCAAATTTTATTTAATCAAAAGTATGCAATTTTGTGATTTACATCATATCAATGTTATAAACTTAGCTAATACTGATAACTAAATTTATCTGGAGTTTTTATAAATTTTCGATTTAAATATGCCTATTATCTATAAAAGCAAATTTTTCTTCTCCATTTGGTTAAACTAGATTCGTACACTTTTTGTCTGCCTAAATTAGCAACAATAAAATTTTCAATTTCTTGCTCTATATGCGTTCGCCACTTTAATTCCAAAAATAATGGAAATGTTTGGTTTTTAATTTTTTTCAAACGCCTTTCCGCTGTTTGGTAACACTTCCAAGGTTGAGGTTCTACAACAAACAATTCAGTCAGTTTGGATAAATTTTGCAGAAAATTTTTCAACCCAATATCATGATGATTTATATGTATCCACATTGTTACAGCAAAACAACAAACTTTAAAGAGAATAACATTTCTATAGAAAAAATATGTTTAAATAAAAGTTTTATAATTATGTTACTTGCATCAAATTTCTTTCGCTTGTGTGACTGTAAATACTCATTAATGTTGTGTTCTGCTGATTCTTCCATTACATCCAATGTTGAATACCTGACATATTGTGGATGCTTATTTTGCGTCACTGCCCGTTCGATAAGTGTACTATCCATATCAATACCTAGTATGTACACATTTCGTCCTGTGCAATTAGAAAGATATTGCCACAAAAGCTGCGTCAGCACACCTGAATTACAACCAACATCGAGTACCAAATAAGGTGAATTCTCGTGTTTTTCAGTGCAATTCGTCCAAACATTGTTTGGTAGCAACTTTAAACGTTCCTCTGCTGAATTAAATTCGTAATAATTTGTGAAATTTCCATGTCGTACAGCGCCACCTTCTCCATTGGTTATCATTTTGATTCATCTTCGTGCATAGATCAGTAACATTTTTGGCATTTCAAGTTTGTTTTATCAAAACAACATTTCGAAGCAAGAGTGTTTTTGGAAAATTCAGCTTTATAAGTGATATTGGATATTAATCGTTCAAATATAAACAAATGAAAAGGTAATTTTATTTTAAAAAAGTTAATTTTTTATATTACATTGATACGTTTGAATTTCATGTAAAAAATTATTGGGGGTACTTATGTCGTACTCATACGTTACTTTTACGTATGATTTGTTTTGTATAATCCTTGCGGTATACATAATTTGTCTTTGTGTACTAATTTTGTTGAACGTTTACTGAACATCGAGTTTAGTCTGCATGCATCTATTAATTTAATATGTTCTATTAACAGATTGCTTAGTGCTTATATATAACTGTTCATTAAATAAATGTAATAACTATAACTAGAATGAATATATTAATTAATAGAAAATACTAAAGATAATAATTTGGAATCAACATGATAGGGCAAACTTAATTTGCGTATTGGATTAATTAATTTCATTAGTAATGTTGGTAGTTCTTTATTTTTAAAAATAGGCAGTATATATTAGGTTGCAGTCCAATATGTCCATCCTCTTCTGATTTCAATTCTTTTATAATCAATAGGTACTCGTTAAATTGCACTAAGGTCGTGTGCGAGTTAGGCTAAGTTGCGTTCTAAGGGCTTGTGTAAGTTAGGTTAAGTTGCATTCTAAATGAGGGAAACTTTAAGTTGTGCCGATAATGTAGTGATGTGTCGATAGTGTTCATAAATGGCTAAATGTGTGCAGTGCAAAAATCCCAAAAAATTTCCCATTTGGTTTAGCATCAACTCAGCCTAACTCGCACGCGTCCCTAATTTACCCTACTCGAAATACCAACTTCGCTGCCATACCGACATAATTTACTATTTCTTTCAATTTACCATCAATTTGCTCGAACTAGCACACGGCTTATATAAGTTAACAACGCAAACATTTAAGAGCTTTAGATTTGCCAGTAGTAAGCAAATAGTTAATTTTTTTAATAAATATTATCATGCTTATTTTAATATATTAATTGTAAAATATTAATAATAAAATATAATATGTAATCGATTTCTAGAAACTACATCAGCATAAGATCATATTTCTTTT